GCTTGACACTAGACTATCCCTTTTCTACCTCATTCATGTTGAATACATCTTTTGTTCATCTTTGAAAGACAAAACCGACTAGAGAGAAGGAGGATAGGGAGATAGAATGATTTCATCTTGTTTTGGCTTGGAGATTAAGAGATTTGAAGGCTAATTGCATAGTTGAGCTTCTACACTTGAAATACTAGGTTTAAGGTAGAGAATTCAACCTCTCATTGATGTATTTATGTATTGTCTTGCATGGTTGATGGGAGTTTAGTGATCTAAGTCAAGTTTTGGTTTAAAAATGTTGAATTGAAGATTAATCCATGCATGCATGTACATGTTCTAGTATTTTGAGGTTGTTTTCAAGGGAATTGTTACATGCATGTTCATATCTTGAGTATAGTTCATGAATTCATCATGTTCTTGAGGAAATTGACTCTTTTGAACAAGTATTTAAAGCTTTAAAGTTGTTTAAATTCATGCATGTTACATTTAAATTATGTTCTTGAAGTTTTCCTTGAAATTGTGTTTAATTGAACTACCTTTGGGCTTCGATTTTGCAAATTGATCTTCAAAACATGTTATACTATGAGTTTACAAGAGTTTTTCAGAAAATTAGCCCAAGAGGATCGAATTTGGTACATTTAAAGTTGATTTTGAGCTTGAAGGTTCAATTTGGAATTTCCAGAATTTGGACTCACGCTCGAGCGTACAATCTGTGTTCATGCAGTCCGCTCGAGCGGGGAAAGTGACGCTCGATCAGAAAATGCGTGTATCCAGTACTTTGCATGTGTTTGCAGTTCGCTCGAGCGGGTAATGCACGCTTGAGCGAGGACTTGTGTCTTACGCTCGAGCGGGTATCGAGCGTCCATCGAGCGTGAATTTTGTGCGTCCAGTACTTTTACTGTAGTTTACAGTCCGCTCGAGCGGAGTAATCCACGCTCGAGCGGAGCCCTTTTGTCTGCATGACCGCTCGAGCGGAGAAATCCACGATCGAGCGGGACCCCTGTTTCAGCAAAATTTTGAAAAGTGTTTCTAAGTGCATCTTTGCATCCTCATTCCATCCTAGGCATTCCTAAGGCATGTTTAAGGCATCTTAATGAGGATACTGATGTAGAACCACACTGAGTCAAGTTAGGGACTAAGTCATTGTTTTCCCAACTGTGTAGCTTAGTGTGTGTTCGTTCTGTAACTGTGTAGGGTTAGCATCTGAGGACGCTCACTAGCCTATCTATATCTCAGAACTCTGTGAGTAACAATGTTGTAAAGATATGTTCAATTGAGATTATTTTCTAAACAAATGACTGTACTGCTTAATGAAATGACATTGTTTACTGAATGAATATTTATCCTATTTGCGAACTGTATTCGTGGCATCCATAGCAATTTACTATTACTGAACTATTACTGCTACTGTCACAGAAATCTTTGTCGGTTCCCATGTTGGAACCACTATTGTTTACTGATATGATGGCCATCAACTGATTGTTCGGCCTGTTAAGACCTATTGTACTGTTTGTTATTGGATGTACCACATATGACTATTATGGTTTATAAATGACTATTATGGCATGAAATACGAGCCACAGACTGAATGACTGATATATTGTTGTAAATGACTGTTTTAAATACTGAAAGGACATTCATTCTTAACTTTTTTACATATATGTTATTCACTGGGCTTTAGCTCACTGTTTATATTTATATATAGGTGTTCAGGCACCGGAGAGGAGTTAGGGACGTCGGGTTAACTCCCTTTTTGTCAAGTCAATCACTGTGCCTCACAGAGAGGTTCCAAGCCTGACTGAGCCAAGGCTGTTTGGGGTGTTTTAGATTTCCCCATTTTTGTCTCTGTTTAGTATATACTGTATAGACTTGTACTGTACTGTACTAATAGGGGTTAAGTCCCTGTCTTGGATGATTGTGTATGTATGTACATACTATTTTGTTCCGAATGTGAATGTTATGAAAACTCTTTTTGCATACAGACTGTCGCAGCTCATTGGACATCTATTATCACTGTTTTGGCTTCCGCCAGCCCCTGTACTCTATATTACTGTTATTACTGTTAAACAGGCCTTCGGTAATCACGGATTACTAGCCGGTTACAGTGCTAAACCCATAGGGGCGGGTTTGGGTCATGACAATAAGTCGTCTCATTGGTTCTCACAAGTGGATCTGGTGAAAGATTGCCAAAAATAGAGATATAGAGAGGAGAGCTGTGTGTATAAGAAGAGTGTGTGTTTGTGTGTGTGTGTGTGTGTGTGAGAGAGAGAGAGAGAGAGAGAGAGAGAGATTTGCAGGAGCTTTTTCGGCCTTATTCATGCCAAGGGACAAGAATGGAGATTCAGGTGGCAAAGCAGGCTTTATTTTCCATAAACCAGTACTGTCATTGCGCGTGTAAATCTGAGGAGGGGCATACCATTCATGGCGATCAATCGTGACAAGGACAGACTGCAGCAAAAAGAACAACTTCAAAGCAGAACATCAGCAGACCAAATAGCAGCCTCAGAGCAGCAACATAGAGCAATAGCATACACCATTAAATAACCTTTGATGGGGTTCTAATTTGTTGGATATGGGAAACAACATCCTGTACTGAGTATGCTCTGCAGTGTTGCTTTTAATCCACAAAGCCACTCTGAGTTTAATCAATTCCTTAACATACTAGAACCTTAACCAAAACCAACTCAAGCTGCATAAGCCTGTGACTCCAGTCCACCCACACACAGCAAGGATCATACCAGCAGTGGCTCGGCCCACCCCCAGCTCACCTTAACACAGTAGCATTCACAGTCACTTGATCCACATTGCTACCCTCACCCACCCCCAAAGGTATTCCTAGAGCAGAATCACAGCAGAAAAAAAAAACAAAAACAAAAAAAAAAAAAAAAAAAAAAAAAAAAAAAAGAAACAGCACATAATATTTTATCTGTTCAATTTTTGAACTTATCTGTTTAACAACAACAACAAATCACAGATCAAAAACCTGAACATAGTAAATCTGGTTATCTGAGACTCAAATCTCAGATTTCTTATTTTCTTACGTTTTTCCCGACAACCAAACGTTGCATAGCTATTTATTCAATAACTAGTTTCAATTTAACAACACCACCATCATCATATATCAAAAGTTTCAAGAGAACATTGTGTTCTTACGTATGAACGTCTGTGTATACCTAGAATCGTTAGTGTTTTATTTAGAACATTTAATAAAATCTAGAATATTTAGAATCGTTAGGGTTGAGTATAAAAATCTAGAATATTTCTAAAAAAATTCTAGTTATTTAAAAAAAAATAAAAATAAATCTAGAATCCTTCGTTCATTCATAAAACAAATATTCAAGATTTTTAAAATATTTTAAATATTTTCAAATATCCCAAAAAAAAAAAATTCTCTGTTGATCTGAGATCTCTCACCGATCGTCACCGAATCCGAATCCGAATCCGCAGGGAAGAAACGATTAGAAAAAGAGAAGATCGGTGACAGAAAAAAGAAAAATCTACAGCTCAGATCGGTGACAGAAAAAGAGAAGATCTGTAGGTCTACGACCTTCCAGATCTCGATCGTCGGCCCCAGAAACAACGTTGTGGAGCGGTGGCGTGAGGCGTGCTCAGATCTACAGCTCCGGCGATGGCATGCTCAGATCTATAGCTCGGCGACTAAGAGAGAGAGAGAGTGGGGGTTTGAAGATCTACCGCGTCTGAGGAGGCGGCACAAGGTTGAAGGCGACTCCGAGAGAGAGAGAGAGAGAGAGAGAGAGGGGGGTCTGGTTTGAATAGAGAGACAGAGACCATGGAGAGAGAGGGTAGGGTCTGTTCGACAATCGTATGCGAGTGACAGGTCTGTTTGAAAATATATATCCTAGCAGTAATTTGGTCATTTTAAAAGAAGAAAAATGTTTGGAAGTGCTTAGAAATGAAACACTAGAATAAGGATTAATGATGTGACTGTGAGTTTCACTCACTTTCTATAATGTATTTTTTAGTGGTCTAAATCATTGTTGTTAAAAGAATTTATCCTTATGACAAATTGTTTGACAGCTTCGACTTGCGAGAAAACAAATTTCAAAATTAAATTTAGCGTCGAGCGCCTTTAAAAATTTTAGGAACTTTTAACTAAACAAATAAATTATTGTTGTTCTTAAATTCTTAAATAAATTTAAGCAAATTATAAATATATTTTTTGAGATTTAATTAAAATATAAATCGCCCTTATAATTTTAAAAATTACATTTTACTTCATCAGATTTTTAATTTCATAACAAATCGTCTCTTTTATTAATAAATTATCAACTCAATTAACAGTTTTTAAGGATATTAGAAATATATTTCAATTAATAATTTAGGTAATTTTATTATTTTATAAGAAAGTAATTATGAATTTTATTTTTTTCCTTAATTCTGTTTAATAAAAAAATACTAATAAGGAGATATTTGTGATTTTCTAAACCACATAAGACAATCTGTACTTTAAATAAATTTTAGGGGATGTATTTATAATTTACCTAATAAGTTTATAAAGGGGTTGTCTTTCTAATTTTTTCTACAATAATATTATATTTTCATAATTTATCATTTCTAAATCATTAGTTATACCTCATATAATGAAATATATAACAAATTTAAATTTGAAATTTATCAAATACATTATTAAAAATAATTTTTAAAAATAATAAATTAAATGTGTCAAATATTTTTCTTCGCTAATTATGAAAAGAAAAAAAAAAAAAAAAAAAAAAAAAAAGAAAAAAGAGAGAGAGTATGTTAAAACGTGAAAAGCGAGGCCGAATCTGTAATAGTAATATGCACCTAACAGTTCTCCGTGCGGGGCAGAGTGACACCCGACCCACGGACACCCAACTGATGCAATTCTTCCATTCAAACGTTGTTGTCACTGTCAGTGGACTTCCACATGTTATATGTCCTCCACGCCACAAAAATACATAAATAGAAAAACACAGAGCAGATAAGGGAAGTAAAAAAGATCACGTTTTAATTTTTAAATCATATTTTTTTCTAACCAGTTTTACTTTTCCGAACAGAGACAGATCACAAACAAAATCACATCACGCAACAAAGACACTATTATCCATTTATTGACAGCCAAACCCAAATACATTATCTTTTTCTAAAATCTCTCAAAACCAACAAAGCTAAAGAATCAGAAGAAGCTCCATTATCAATTCATTCACTGTTCTTGATCTGGAAAGGATTTTGTTTGATTGATTGATCGGAGACGATGCCGCAGCAATTACAGGAGAGAATCAGAGCTTTCTTCAACAACAGATGGCTTGTGTTTGTGGCTTCAATGTGGGTTCAGTCTTGTGCTGGAATTGGGTACTTGTTTGGGAGTATATCGCCTGTGATAAAGAGCACTATGGGTTACAATCAGAGACAAGTCGCCATTTTGGGTGTGGCTAAAGATTTGGGGGACAGTATTGGCTTCATTGCTGGTACTTTGATCGAGGTTTTGCCCATTTGGGCTGTTTTGTCCATTGGTGTTGTTCAGAATTTTGTTGGGTATGGTCTTGTTTGGCTCATTGTCACTCACAGATTGCCTACTTTGCCTTTGTGGGTGGTCAGTTCTCTCTCTCTCTCTCTCTGTCGGCAGATAAATACAAATGGTGATTGTGGCATAGATGCTTGAGATTATTTATTTATTTATTTATTTATTTTGACTTTTAGTTGGGTTCTGTTCCTTATGCCCTTCTATTTGCTTGAACTTTCAATTGTTGTTGATGAAATGCAAATTAACTTGATGACTGACTACAAATGTGAACTTGGGTCCCTTTTCTTTCAATTTTCTTTGGCATTTTGGGATTCATTTGCTGGTAATGTGTTCGGGTTGTTGCGATTTTGATGAATTAGATGCATGAAAGGAAATTATGATGCATACTTAGATTGGGGATTTTTAGTTTCAAGTTGGGTATTTTGGTTTGGTGACATGATTTCTGATTTGAGAACTGAATTTGAGAAACAAACAAGTTAAAAAAATGACAGGATTAGGATTAGATTTTTGCAACCATAGTTAGTCTCTTGATACAGTTTGCACTGATAGACCCATAGCTTCTGATCGATTGACCGAATGAGAATCACAGGTCCATAGTTTCTTCAAATTGGCTCTAAGTTTTTTGAGGCAGACTTTTGCAATATGAAATGTGTTCTCTCTCTTTCGTCATTATATTGAAAAGTGGTCTGGTTCTTCAGTTGTTCTCTTTTCTTTCTTTTGGCAGCAGGGTTGTCTTCTGCAGGCTCTGATTGTCTGTGATCCGTTTTTGGTTGATGAAGACTTAACAAATTAAATTATTAATCTCATCTTCTAAAGTAATTTGGTTTTCAAGAATTAAAAGAATAATAATAAACTCAAATTTGCCTGATTGATGTACTAGACTTAGTTGCATAGAGATTGTGCATGGATCAGATATCACTAGTTTCAAATTGCAATTCCTTCAAATTATTTTTATTATTTATTTATTTTCCTGAGCGACCAAGAAAGGCAGTAGAAACTCTGTGGTAAGTATCCAGCACTTACTATTTTTTGTATTTATTGATGTTAATGTATAATGTATATAGTATAATATATTATAGGACAGAGCATAGAAAGCATAGGATTCTTTTCTTTCAACTGTAAAGGCCAAACACCACTCACACACTTTCATTATTACGCATAGCTTTTGTCTTCTCCTTTCGGTGCTTCCTCTATAAATGAGCATCACTCTTGTAACCAAAATATAGATTGAATATAACATTCATTCACATATCTCACAATTGATTTAGCATGAATCACTTATCAGATTTCCCTCATCTTTTCCTTTCATTTTCCAAATTCTTACCCAAATTGATGATCCAAACACTGCCTTAGTGTCATTTTGTGTTCTACCAATCTGAGGATTGTTTTTATATTATAGATCTTTGTCATTAATTTTGTCTAGCTTGGTGAAGTGAAAAGTGTAATTCATATTACAATTCTAGATTAATGGAATGCAGAAAGATATAGAGAGGTGAAATGAATCTAAATGTGGCAAGATATAGAGACGTGAAGGCTTCAATAGGTTTATTAAGATTTTTTAAACTCATCCATTAATTGAAGCTACGGAGGTCACCATGTTGTACTCAAGGTTCACTGTGCAATACTTAGTTTATTGATTTTTTTTTATTTCATGATGTCAAAGTCATCACATTCAAGATCTTAAAATTAGTCTACAGATATCAGATTAGTACTATTTTGGTTTTGATGCATTGGACTTGCAAAAACAAATATGTGCATTATACTTTGAATATATTGTCAATTGTAGTATTTTTTTTCAGATTTTATGGGATGTGTCATTATAGTAGTATATTTCTGCCACATGTAGTATGGTAAGTTCAATATGTGCAAGGCACTAAATATAAATTTGTTGGCTACATATTTTGTACAAGCCAATTACAATTCGACGCGTGGCAAAATAAGGGTAGTACGGGAAAACTATTCAAATCTTCGATCCTGATCATACACGTGGCAGTTAGCATGGTTATCAGAATCTCAATCCGGATCTTATGATCCTACGATCTTACGATCCATTTGAGTGCAATCGATCCGGATCATGTAAAAGACTCCTTATAGGTAGGATCTTTCGATCCTGGTAGTAGGATCTTATAAGATCGTGGAATCCCGATCCGAATCCGATCCTACCGATCCAATTTACAAGCCTTGTTTTGTATTGTATGACATATTTTGTTGTAAATTTTATATTTGTTGTCTAAATATCAATTTATGTTGTCAAAATAAATAATAAAAATTAAATAGTATTGAATCAAATAGACTAAGAAAAAAAACTAGGAAACAAACATTCAAATATTGCGGTAATTTAAGAAAATTAAATAGTCGAAAAAACAAACTTAGCTTTAGCGGAGTCTAAGAAGGGTAAGATGATTGTAACTTTATCCCAATTTCTGGAGAAATTATTTTTGTGACTCGAATCCGCTCCACCAGGGATGCTAACGACAAACCTTATCATTCGACTAAGCTACTCTTTTGAGTTCTTAATCTATTTTCATATCCAATTTTGTTAAATATTTTTTCTTCACTTTTTATGCATTATTGTACATTGTAAAGTATTTTGTTATAGAATTCTTCTTCTTCTTCACCTTCTTTTTTGATAAAATACAGAATTTTTACCATCGAGTTTTCTATTGCATAATATTATATGTACATTTTACATGGAGTATTATATTTTTCACAATATCTTCACTTCTTTTTAATAAAATATAGGTTCATTTTGTGTATACTTTATAAGAAATATTTATTTAAATTAAATTATTATGTAATTTGTCTTTTTCGCTAGGATCTTACGATCCTCGATTCGATTCTACGATCCGATCCTATAAACACCTCCAACGATCCAACGTAGGATCCCGATTTTAACAACCTTGGCAGTTAGTATTGGTTGTTACGAGATCTGAGTAGCAGTGGATCAGCAGAGAGATACAAAGTGATGTGGCATCATCGGTTACTCACATTTTGAATTCAAATTTAAGAGGGAAGCCTAACTGCAAGTGATGGCGTAATGGAGCTAATCTTGAGGCAACATGATCAGCGATCATGGAGGAGTAGTTCGACGGTTGGAAATACAATTCGATGGTCATTTTTAAGCAGTATAAATAGTAGAGAAGGTCCCAGAAAAGAGGCCCCCAGACTCAGATTCAAAAACCAGTCTTATTCTACTTTACTTAGGTTTATATTTTCTGTTCTTTACATTCCAGTACTTTAAATTCTACACTACACTGCACTTCATTCGTAGGAGTAGTTTCAAGTAGATTGTCACTGTAAACCTCTACGAGGCTGAGTTTGAATCATTGTAAGTTTTTCATTCTAATGAAATACTTCAGTTGTTTTTTATTTGATCTATATTTTGCTTAATTCTCCTAAATCAAGCCACCAGTAAAAGTCCTTTTCATTGAGGCTGAGAGAACTAAAACACAATCGTCTGATAATTGGTTGGCAAGTAAATTTCTGTAAGGACTGATTGATCCTTACTGGCACGCTCGCAATTACAATAATAATCTTCGAAAGCCAAAAAGCCAACAAAATTGTTGTCAATTGAATGTAGGATTGAACACATTCTCACAATTTGAGTTGAAATAAATATGTTAATCCATTTAATTTTTATTTCATTATATTTTTTAAAGTTGATTCCATGCCTAATAAATGTTTGAGCTAAGGTTGGAAATTAGTTTTTGCATGTGTATCTCTGCTATGCTTCCCAGAATGTGAGTAAGTGAGAGATGGGGCATAGTTGACTGATTGATTGATTGACTCGAATGGCAGTAGATTAGTTGATTGATTGGCACGCATTATTTGTCTTTAACTGACTACAAATATGGGTACTTAATCTTTTTTCTCTAATAAAGATGTCAACTCCATTTATGTCTGCAGATGTGTATTTCCATTTTTGTGGGAACAAATGGAGAGACCTACTTCAACACAGGAGTTTTGGTGTCCTGTGTGCAGAACTTTCCCAAAAGCCGTGGTCCTATAGTGGGGATACTGAAAGGATTTGCGGGGTTGAGCGGTGCAATTATAACTCAATTTTATGCCATGATCAATGCTTCTAATCAAGCATCACTGATCTTGATGGTTGCAGTTTGGCCAACAATTGTAATTGTTTCTTTGATGTTCATTATTAGACGTGTGGGAGGTCACAGACAAGTTAAACCATCCGATAATTCAAGCTTCTTCTTCACCTATAGCATCTGTCTTGTTCTAGCAGGTTATTTGTTGGTCGTCTTGTTGCTCGACGATTTTGTTGATTTGAACCAGACAGTTGTCACAATACTTACAGTTGTATTGATCATTATCATATTGCTTCCGATTATAATTCCTGTTAAATTGGTTTTTTTCTCGGAACCAAGACCCCTGATAGAGGAGAGCCTTCTTGCTGAGCCTCAAAGAGAAGAATCAAGTAAATCCGAGCAGGAACGGAATAATGAGGTCATTTTAAGTGAGGTTGAAGATGAGAAATCTGCAGAAGTAGACTCGCTTCCAGTATTAGAAAGACAAAAACGAATTGCTCATTTGCAAGCGAAACTGTTTCAAGCAGCTGCTGAAGGAGCGGTAAGGGTCAAGCGGAAGAAGGGCCCACGTAGAGGCGAGGATTTCACTTTAATGCAGGCATTAGTAAAGGCTGATTTTTGGCTTATTTTTTTCTCCCTTGTACTGGCTTCCGGTTCTGGTTTGACAATAGTTGATAATATGGGTCAGATGAGTGAATCTCTGGGATTTAGTGACACACACATATTTGTATCCATGATTAGCATTTGGAACTTTCTCGGCCGTGTTGGTGGAGGATACTTCTCTGAGATCATCATTAGGTTTGTGACGCGATCCCATTCTTTGCCAAGTTACAACATGCTTTCTATTTCTTTGTTGGGTAAACTACACAGTTGGTCCTTCTAATTTGAGCCAAGTTTCAATTTGATCCTTGTCATTTCAATTTGAACAATTTGAACCCTACACTTTCAATTTTGTTACAATATAATCCCTCCGTTACTGTTAAAATTTTGAACCAATGTTACAACAAATCTGAAAGTATGGGGTTCAAATTGAAACTACAAGGACTCAAGTAACACTTCGCTTAAACTACATGGACTAATAGTGTAATTGCCCCTTGTTGGTTTCTTTGAAAGAAAAAAAAGAAAAAAGAAATTGCATATTTTCTTCATCCCTCTTTGTGTTCTTCATTTGCCAGGAACTATGCCTATCCAAGGCCAGTGGCAATGGCTGTTGTTCAGGTCATAATGTCATTTGGGCTCTTCTATTATGCCATGGGTTGGCCTGGGGCAATCTATGTCGTGACGGTGTTAATAGGACTTGGATATGGAGCACACTGGGCGATTGTGCCTGCTGCAGCCTCAGAACTGTTTGGCTTGAAAAGTTTTGGTGCATTATATAATTTCCTTACACTGGCAAGTCCTGTAGGCTCTTTAATCTTCTCTGGTGTCATAGCCAGTGGCATTTACGACTATGAAGCAGAGAAACAAGCTTCTCTCAAACAGTTAGTGTCGGGAATACCTCTTATGGAGGATGAATCACTCTCTTGTTCCGGTATCATATGCTATTCAATCACTTGTGGTATTATGTCAGGACTTTGCGCTATTGCAGTTGTGCTGAGTTTGATTGTTGTGTACCGGACTAGGAGTGTGTACGCACAACTCTATGGAAAGTCACAAGCTTGAGATGCTGCTAAAGATGGTCTTTGCATGAGCGCAAGGGTGAAGGAAAATACCCTCGCCTCTTTCTTATTTTGCTGAAAACATTTTCCTGGAGAAATTAAGATGGGGCCAACAATAAGCCAACTTTTAGCTGCTCTGTGTTCGCAAAACAAAAAAACCCAAAAATAAACCACATGATTATTGATTTGTACCAGTTTGTTTCAGACATCAAGGCTGTTTTCATTCTTCTGTGAACCATGAGCCAGAGGACATGGGTTTGTAATTTGTGTTAGCAGCTTATTCTATTGTCATTATATATTAATGAATTGCCGATTACATTTATTTCAAGTCCCTTTTTTCTTTGTTCTTTCTTTTTTTGCATTCTTTGAGTTCTAGCTTCCAGTGGAATATTTACAAAATTTTAGTGACTGCTAAGCCAAATGATTTGCCATTTGATGAATGTGAAAATTGTGGTTTGTGACTCTTTTAAGTTAGGTATATATATGTAGGCAGAGATTGGGAATTTTGAATTCACTTAGAAATCTAATAATGTGTCTACTCATCACTTGTTGAACTCGGCTTTCTGTGTGAAAGAAGAAGCTGTTGTATGCTTGTTTGTTTGGATGGTTAGAAAATGTTTCAAGTTTTCTGGGGAATGTATTGAGACTTTCCCTATAAAAACACCAAGGACCACAATCACTAGTAATTATCTTCAGGGATGAATGAAATTGTAGAATCATCTATCTGTCTAATGTAACAGTCATATTTTACTGTCATTGAGATATTGGCAGCGCATGCTTCTCTCATATCCCATTCAACTTACCTTAATGCAATGTGGATCTTAATGTGCTGAGTTGGTGCTTCGGAAAGATTATTCGGTCAGAATATTCTGCATTTGCACCGTCCATGTGGGTCCCACTCAAGCATCGCTTTTTTTTTTTCATTATCAAAATCTGGATGAGTTTTTCATTAAAATTAAAAAGTAATGATATTACTAAAATAGACATGTTCAATGAATCATCCATGGAAATCTCAACTCACTGAACTCATATCAAACATAAATAAAATCATTGTACTCATACATTGGACTGTAAAGTAGAAAATAAGGGAAGAAAATAAAGTAAACCAATTGTTTTGGTGAAATTTAATGAAGTTTCTCCATATGGTCATGGTTGCCATACATATATTCCAATAGTTTAAGAGCCAACCCTGCAAAATATTAACAAATTTAGACCAAGCACAACAATTCACTATGGTTGGCATGATATTTTGATAGGATTGTAATTTAAACTACTCTAATCCAACTCAACTTGTTAATAGTTCATTTAAAATTAGCTTATTAGGTAAACAAATCAAGTTTGAACAACTTATTACTCATCTCCATTTAATTATACACTTTTAAAAAATCAAGTTTCGTGAGCAACTTGATTACAACTCGTTTGAGATCAACTCAAAAAGTAAACATCTCAAATTTAAATGTGTTTTGAAATTCATTAAATTTTCAAGTCAAATTTAAACGAAATACTACACGACTCGGCTGTCCTCTACTTTGAAATACAAAAGAAATTTCATCTTGCTTCTATTATACAGTATGTCAACAGATATAATAAACTTTATTTATGTGAAATTCACTAAAGCTGAAGAACAAAACTCAAATTTGAAATTAGACATATTCAACTTTGAAAACACACAGGCATTATAAGATAATTCAAATTTGAAAAACAAAAGAATTATTGGAAATTTACAAGAAACAATAAATATGTTATTATTACTTACCAACTTTTTTTATTTTTTTTATTGTAATTTTCTAGTAATGACAAAAAATAAATAAATGTTGAGTTCTAGAATATTCAGAGTATAATTAAACTACCAAATTTAGATAATTAATGGACTAACCCAATGCTTTGGTATAAATAGAAGGAAAAATATACTACTTTTTATTTATATATATATATATATATTTTGTTATATTTTCTCTGTTTTAAATCTGTAATAGGGTTTGTGAAATAGTCACAATAAATCTTGTTCTGAGAATTATTAGTATTTTTATGTTTGATTTGGGTGGAAAAAAATTAGAACAGAATCTAATTTGTTAGAAATTCATCAATGGCGTCTTATCTACAGTTCTCATTTCTCAAATAAGGTAAGCAATCGTATCTCTGTTTTTAATCTGAATTCTATATCTGTATCTGTGTCTGTATATCTATATACACTGTCTTTGATTTGTGCTTTGCATTGAAGTAATTTTAATAATTCAATGTGGTTTTTTAGATTGTGCATTGATGATAAATAAGGACTTTCTAGGGTTTAGTCACATACAGTAGATGTGAAATCTCAAGTATATCAGATTCTGATTGATGGGTTTTTGTTAATTTTGCTTTTTGCAAGTAAAAGTGAGTAGTTAATGCCTGTGCATTTTCTGCTCTCTTCAGTTTTGGATTCTATTCTGTTTGTTGAATCCAGGAACGGATTCAGAATTATAAATTTGGGGGCCTACTCTATAGTTTAAAAAATTGGAGGCTACTCTATATAATATTGAAATTGTTTAAAAAAATTTGAGGTTGCGAACTCCTATAATTTTAAATTATTTTAAAATTTATAGTATAATATATGATATTTTTTAAATTTTTTGGGGTGCGGCCGCCCCCAGCCCCCCGTAAATCCATCATTGGTTCAGTCCGGAAGAGACAGAGGGTTTTCTGCTGTCATTTTCTCTGAATTTGTTCTATGATCACTGAAATTTGGTAGGAATGACTAATGTAGATGGTTTTTCTAACTACTGTTCTTTGATTTTTTTTATCACCAATTTATTCGTGTTTTTTTTGAAGATCAGTAGTTTTGTTAGATCATTTTCATAACGGTGGTTGTTGATGCCGATCGTGTTCAAAGTACTGTTTTTTGAATTTCTTATCACCAATTGATTTGTGTTTCTCAAATGATCTGTATTTTAGTTAGTTTATTTTCTTAATGGTTGGTCGCTAAGAAGGTTTCTAGATCAAAGGATATATAATTTTTGGAATTTGTATATCTGGGTTTTTCAAAAGTTTGGAATTCTAGTTAGTTGATTAATCATCATTACCTTTGCAATTTTGTGAGATATGCTCATTAAGTATTTAGTCGATTATCATCATTACCCTTGCAATTTTGTCAGTTTCTCATTAAAACTTTTTGATGTAACAATAGATAAATCTTTGGATTTTGTAAATAGAAAGATGCATTTATTCGAGTGTTTGATTTTATCATTATCGTATACCTAATCATGAGCCGATAATTTCGTGTTCAAATAGTGCTCTATGAACTTCTTACCACCTATTGATCTAGGTTTTCCAAAAGTTTGGTATTCTAGTTAGTCGATTATGATCATTACCTTTGCAGTTTTGTTGGTTGCTCATTAAGAATCTATTGACGTAAGGATAGAAAAACCTCTGGATTTGGTAAATAGGAAGATGCATTTATTCATGTGTTTGATTTTATGGTTATGGTTATGACTAACAATAATGACCTAATTATACTCCGATAATTTCATGTCGTTATTCTCTTTTTTTGCCAAAAGTGGGTTCCTACTGGCAATTCATTATTTTGGTGTATTAGGGCTTGCACACAGAGGAGGAACATAAGAATTAAATAAGAAACGGAGACCGTGAAACATTGAAGAAATGGAGTGTAATAAAGACACTGCTGCTAGGGCAAAAGAAATTGCGGAGCAGAAGTTGACAGAGAGGGACATTGATGGAGCCAAAAAATTTGCTTTGAAAGCTCAAAACTTGTTTCCTGTGCTTGAAGGTCTTCATGAATTCATGGCGATCCTTGATGTGTACATTTCTGCAGAGAAAAAGATAAATGGTGAAGTAGACAGGTATGGGGTTCTAGGCGTGAATCCATTCTCTGATTATGAAACATTGAGGAGACACTACAGGAAACTGGTCCGCACTCTTCACCCTGACAAAAACAAGTCAGTTGGGGCTGAGGAGGCATTCAAAATGCTCACTGAAGCATGGAGTTTGTTGTCTGATAAGACTAAAAGAGCAGCATATGACCAGAAGCGGAATCATAAATATGAAACTGGAAATTCATCAATGCCTGCCGGTAAGAACCGGTTGGATACTTCCACCCACAATGATGATTCAAGTGTAAAGGATCAAAAGAGTGATGGTATTCCCCAACCTATTCCCATTGCACCTCGTCCTGCAAAACCAAATACATTTTGGACTGCATGCAACCGATGTAAGATGCAATATGAGTACTTAAGAGCTTACCTCAATCGAAAGCTTCGCTGTCCTAATTGTGATGAGGCCTTTTACTCTGTGGAGGTGCACCCTAAAAATGATCCAAACCCGTCCACCCCGTCACCCTCCTACTGCCAGAAGCAAAATGTAAACCGTCACATGGAAAACAACACTTCTGCTCCAAATATGGGAAAACCAGGGTCTATAGGTGTTGGTTCAATCAATAGTCCAAACATGAAGCAGGGTTTACTTTCAACACCAGGTAGTGTTAGAAGTGTGCCAGCATCAGCTTCCTCAGCTGGTCAAAATGAAAATACAAGTCAGAATTTGAAGAGAGTGAGTGAGGTGGCACAGATGGGAGAGGTGGCTGCTCAGAGGAAATGTGGTGCTTCTAAGAAAACGGGTGCCAGGTTAGCTTCCAATGCTGCTTCTACTTTTGGGCCTATGAAAAAGAGTTGCATTCAGGTGAATGTTACTGGAAGAGAGATGCCTAACCAAATGGCAATGCCTAATCAGAAGGTTAGCTTAGGAACAGAAAGGTTCGGCACTTCTGAAACTATCCAGAATAACAGTGCAAAGGAGACGTCACAGTTAGAAATTCGCAATTTGCTGATTGCAAAGTCCAAGATGGAGATCAGGAAGAAGCTCAATGAATGGAATATGAAAGCCGCACTGAAGGCTTCAATTAAAAATGGTAAGAAGATGGGAATCGAAAAAAAAAATGGTGAGAAGAAAGATGGAAATAAAAATGCTGCATTTGTAGAAACTAAGAATTCAGTCCAACCCAGAAAGTCTTCCCTTGTCGCTTCTAATATTGATTCCAATGAAAAGGCTGCTGAAACAAAGTCAATGATTGTTACAGATCCAGAATTTTATGACTTTGACAAGGATCGGAAAGCGAAATGCTTTGGTAAAAACCATGTTTGGGCAGCCTATGATGACGACGATGGAATGCCTCGATACTATGCTTTGGTTCGTAGTGTGGAATCCAAGCGTCCTTTCAAGTTGCAGATTAGTTGGCTGACCTCTAAAAGTAATGCTGACCTGGGCCCTCTAAATTGGGTTGATTCTGGCTTTACCAAGACTAGTGGGGATTTCAGGGTGGGCAAGCATGTAAGCTTTAGCAATCTCAATTCCTTCTCGCACAGGGTCAAGTGGATGAAAGGCAAAAGAGGGGCCATTAAAATTTTTCCCAGAAAAGGAGACGTTTGGGCTCTTTACAGTAACTGGTCTCCTGATTGGAATATGTTTACACCAGATGAGGTGATACACAAATATGACATGGTAGAAGTGCTTGAAGATTATAACGGGGAGAGAGGTGTAACTGTTGCTCCACTAGTTAAAGTTCACGGCTTGAAGTCAGTGTTTCACCAGAATTTGGACCCACAAGAAACAAAGACAATTCCAAGAGAGGAGATGTTTCGTTTCTCTCATCAGGTCCCTTCGTACATGCTTACTGATCAAGAATGTAAAAATACTCCCAAGGGTTGCCTGGAGCTTGATACAGCTGCTATGCCTCCAGAACTTCTCAAGGTCATTACAGAAGCGAAGGAAGTAGAAACAGCTAAAAGGGCTACCAAAGAAGATGGGGTGGAGAGTTTTGGAAAAGCTAAGGAAGACTTGCATTTGGAGGAGAGTGGCAAAAGCACTGACCAAGAAGGGATGATTGAAGATTTGAAAAATGTCCACACAAAAGCAATGTCAAGCAATGTCAAGCAATGCAAAGGAATCCGAGGAAGAAGAGATTGTGAAGGATACCAATGAAGGCTGAAGCCAAGGAATCAGCAAGGGTAAGAGATGGTGAAAAAGAAAAAAAAAAAAAAAACAATGAAGCCAAGGAATAAACAGTGCTGGTTTGTGTTGAGTAATCAGTAGTTCCAGTTTTCATTCAATCTCCAATGGTCAGGTGGAATAGAATTAGAAATCTGAAAATTACCCACCTTAGGTAGTTGTAAGAAACTAAAGTTTTTTTTTTGCCTTTTTTTTGTTTTGTTTTGTTTCTTTTGTTTTTCAATCTTGTCAGTCAAACAATGTCTTGCCTAAAGCCCTCAACCATATTGAAACCGATCCAGCAGTATTCACAATCACCGCGGTATAGTTTTGGAGACCATACAGTTTTTTTTTGAAGTCGCAGCTCTTTTCTGCAACTTAAAAAACAGTTTTGAAAGTGCACTCGTAATTTAATTTGCAGTATGTAATAGCTGTTTTTACATTTTTCCTTTTTTTTAAATACAAAGGAAAAACCTTTTAGAAAAGACTAGACTAGACTTTTTTTTTACCAATACACAGAATTCTGTAAGTATGAGCTAAGGATCTTTTTCATGTACTTTTGTAATGCTCAAGTGTTGGATCACCCCATGTGAATGGAGAACCCACTACTCAAATGGAGGAAGGTAGGTGGCTCACCAACTCCAACCCACTAGAGAGTGGAAGAACGTAGGTGGCAACCAATGAGGTTCTCCCTCATTTGTGTTTAAATGGAGAAGGTGTTGGATAGGCAAAATTGAGAGAACTAAGAGAGCAAACCAAAGAAAGCAAACCAAAGAGAGTGAGAGATGTGAGGCGGAGAGACCGTCTCTCTTTCGGTGTGAGCGAGGGAGATGGGTGAGTGGGTGAGTGAGGAGAGTGTGAGCTCCTCCTCTATTGTAACCTTTCTGTAATTTCTCTATTATTATAGTGATAACTGGTTATTCTCCCGTAAATGTAGGCTTTGTTGCCGAACCACGTTAAGGGCTGGTTTGGCATGTTTGAAAAAAGTCAAAAAGTCAAAAAGTCACTATCCTATTTAAATCATATCATCTTATTTAAGTCACATCATCTCTCTAACACATCACTTCAAACCCAACCCAAACCCAAACCCAACTCATATTTCATAAAAAGTCAAAAAGTGCACTTATTTAGATCATCCCAAACAACCCCTAAATATGATATCTCCTTCTGTGTGGGCATGTTTCTGCTTGGTATGATTTCTATAAGGTCTTGGGCGGGATCCCGATCCCCTACATCAAATAGACTTCTTGAATTTGAAATTTCTGCTTTTTTCTATTGCTTTTAGTTGATTCATATTTTTTTATAAATGTATTTACAGTTCATTGTGCTCTCTTCTCTTTCTTGAGTCATGCTGATGATTGTTACTACCACATGGAAAATTTTGCTGATTGTTCTGTGGTTCCTATTTTTTGTCCTGCAATATGTGTTTTTTCGTAAGTGGTCCTGTGAGGCAGTGACAATCAAGGAATGGCCTTAAATGTGTAAACTGACCATACAAATACAACGGCTTTTTGGCTGGTCAATAGTTGTGTTGTAAGACTAAGATTGCGAAGGTTCATAGGGATAGAATAATGGAAGGCCTTTGAAATCCTGACCATAATGTTCTTTCCGTAAATATGACAATGGAACAAGCTTAAGTTCCCCCATTTTTTATAGTGGAAAAATAGTTTTTTGAGAAAAGCTTTTATTGAAAAATATTTTCCTGTGTGATTGCTACCCTATGTCAGTGGTGGTGGTGATAGTGTGATATTGGTAAGACAAATTTTGATATATCTGGTTAGGTTTGGAAAAAAAATTCTGCCTTCAAAATATAGAAAGCATATTGGTCTCTCTGTTGAATTTTGTTATTCATCATGCCAAGCTTTAAAAAAAGTGAAAAATGTTCTGAACAAGAAAATGCGAAAAGTAATTTTCGCTGAAATGGATTAAGTGTAAGGTCGGAATTTGTATGTTGGGGACTGTTGCTCATGGTTTATCAAGGAATGGCCTTAAATGTGTAAACTGACCATACAAATACAACGGCTTTTTGGCTGGTCAATAGTTGTGTTGTAAGACTAAGATTGCGAAGGTTCATAGGGATGGAATAATGGAAGGCCTTTGAAATCCTGACCGTAATGTTCTTTCCGTAAATGGAACAAGCTTAAGTTCCCCCATTTTTTATAGTGGAAAAATAGTTTTTTGAGAAAAGCTTTTATTGAAAAATATTTTCCTGTGTGATTGCTACCCTATGTCAGTGGTGGTGGTGATAGTGTGATATTGGTAAGACAAATTTTGATATATCTGGTTAGGTTTGGAAAAAAAATTCTGCCTTTAAAATATAGAAAGCATATTGGTCTCGCTGTTGAATTTTGTTATTCATCATGCCAAGCTTTAAAAAATGTGAAAAATGTTCTGAACAAGAAAATGCGAAAAGTAATTTTCGCTGAAATGGATTAAGTGTAAGGTCGGAATTTGTATGTTGGGGACTGTTGCTCATGGTTTGGTTAGACGCCCAGTGTGGAGTTCTGCTAGATGCTGATTATGTGACACTGGAACTTTGTCTTCATGTTTCTTGGTGAATTGGGTTTTGTCATGTGGTGACACCTCCATAGCCAATCATACTTACTGTTTTGTTTGACCCCCAGATGCCTTTCTGATGTTGTTGGGATATTCCTATTGCTTTGGCATTGCAAAGGTTTGCTTACTGATTTTTTGCTGCTGCCGAATTTTGCTGATGTTTTGCTGTCCTGAAAGGTTTTGGTTTTGGTTTTGGTTTTGGCAAGTTGAGTGTTGAATTTTGCTGATGTTTTTGCCCTATCCTGGGTGGGTTATGAATTTTGATGATCTTCATGCTGAGTGATGCTCTTTTTGGACAGCTATGTTGAATCTGCTGTTGAAAGCATTGTTTGAGTTAGGTGTCTGGTGTTTTTGTTTCCTTAGTGTTAGCTACTGGTGTATTATGATGGTTGTGCTGGTGGTGGTAGTGCAGTGTATTTTGTGTGCTGGTGGTGATGCTGCCAACAAAAGCTTCAATTTTATCACCAAACAAGGGTTGTTTCGTGCCTGAATTCACTGATTTTGGTGGTAAGGTTTGGCATGTGGCCTGTGCAAGAAGAGGTGGATGGTGAAGGGGAAGACAAGCTCGATGGAAAGGAGGAGAAGAGAAGAAAGAGAGCAGAAGGTGCAAAATAAGGCTTTCTTAGCAACTAAGGAGATAAAATATGTGACATCAACAATTTTTTGGCCAAAATTATTAACGGATAATGTTTAAAAAGAAAAGGAGGGCATTATCAAAATTATGTGATGTCCTTGCAATTATGATAAATTTCTTATTATAATATTCACTTATAAAAAATAAATGTACCCAATTTAAATCATACATATAAATGTGTATAATGATAATTTGTGGTTGGGCCGAGCTTGAAGCACTTTTTTCAAACTCAATCCACATTGTAATTGGGTTGAAAAAATTTAACCAACCTAAATTAAGAGCCTAAATTATAATTTCAAATCCTATAAATTGTGAACTAAATAATGAGCCTGTCATCAGGGGTGCAATTGAAGCAGGTTCAACCCGAACAATCCGAGCTTGCTCCAAATTTTTTTAGGACTTGAGTAAGATATTTTTAAATTCGGTACGGATTTGGACAAAAATTCAAAAATCCAAATTAAATTTTGATGGGCTTGGACAAAAACATCAAATAACCCGAGCAACCTAAAATCCAACTTATATATATATATATATATAAATTTAAAAAAATATTAAATATATATAAATTATTAGCCATTACATAATATTAAAATAATTTAAATCATTAAATCATACTGAATATATATTATATACACAAGTACCACAATACAAAATTTTATTTTTTTATTCTTACTCATAAATTGTAAAGACTACCTATGATTTATTTTGATGTTATTAATGATTTTCTAAAAAAAAATATAAATAGAGTGTAATTTTAAAAAATTAATAGTTTAGCTAGAAAAAAAAAACTAAAATTTATGTGTAATTCGGGCAATTTGAGTTTAACATGGGTTGGGCTTGAATTGACAACTTTAGATTACAATTCAAGCTTGGGTAGACCAGGTAAGCTTGAGAACAATTTGAGTTGGACTTGAACAACCTCTCAACCCAGTTAAACCTACTTGAATTGCACCCCTACATGTTAGGCTTATGTCTATTCCCATTTTTACTTTCTATCATCAAGTGTTGTCTTAGTATGTAAAAAAATAAAAAATAAAAACCAAAAACAAAAAAAAAACTTAACCATAGAGGAGTAACAAGTTAGATACTATGGGAGCTAAGGACCCTTAGTGGTGCTATATTGCATAGTCATTCAACTATATATTGGTAAGTTGTAGACTCATACATAGGTAGGGATTTAAACTTATACTTCTTAATTATATATTGGTAAGTCGCAGACTCGTACATAGGTAGGGATTCAAACCTACACTTCTCAACTATATATAGGTAACTTGCAGACTCATACATGGGTAGGGATTCAAACCTACACTTCAAACACTAGGCATGGTTCACTAGACCTAAAAGACTCATCCTATAAACTTTGTGTACTGTTTCCCAAATGACTGACCTCAAGGGGAGTCGAATTGAGACCTTGGATGTAACACCCAAGATTTTTCCACTCGACCAAACCCTCGTAATCCGTTTAGCTTAATTTTCACAATCAATTTTGAAAGAATATAAAATTTTAAAATTTGTTTGGTTGAGTATTTTGAAAATAATTTTAGAAATTTGAAAATCCAAAACTTGTTTGGTTTTGAATTTTCAAAATTAGTTTTTTAGTTTTTCTATTTTTTGTGTTTTGTTGTCTTTAATGAACTTTTTTCATATTTTACTCCATTCTTTTTTCTTTTTTTTTAACTTTTTAGATGCAGCTAGTCTAAATGTATTTTTTGTATTTTGGTCAATTTTTTTACTTGTTGAGCCTTTAAAATTAATTTTTGAGTTTCGATTCGTATTTTACTCATTCCACACTCGTCATCCGAATTTAAATTTAACATATTTTTTCACTATTTTCAATTTTTTTTTTATTAATTCGAATAGAAATTCATTTTGGTTTTAAATTTTTATATGAATTGACAAATTATTTGTTTACAAAGTTTCATCTAAAAAAGTTCAATTAACTTGAAAATTGATCTAACCCATATTTCAACATACATATTGGTTCAATTAATGTAACTTTGGTAATAGAGATAAGTTTGATTTGAAATAGTTTTGGGAATGGAGATAATTTAAAATAAATTCGGAATAGTTTAGGGAATAGAGATAAATCTAGAATAATTTTGAAAATAGAGTTAAACAAATGAGCTTTCAATTTTTAGCTCTCAAAAATTGTTTTGAGAGCCCAAATCAAACAGGGTCTTTTATTTCGTTTTTGGAAATTTGATCAAACCCCCTCGTAATAAAACTTTCATGCATTAAGGGTAAACACAAAAATAATTTCTTCAAAAATCCAACACACATTATTATCAAAATATCTTTAGTGAGTAATTTAATATTTTAAACTTTAAAATTATATAACTTTTGATTTAGATGTCGTTTTTTAATAAAATTAGTATTTTTAAAATTCTCTCGTCAATATCTATCAAATAAGATCCATGTTGGCTATGAAATTCTTTAAAAAATTAAAAAAAAATTCACTGTCAAAATTAACATCAATAATAAAATTTTACTTTATCTCAAAATAAAATGTTACTCTAATTCAAAGCAAATTTTATTGTAAAATTTTAATTTTTAAATAATAAAATATCATCATCATCATCATCATCATTATCATCATCATAACCACTATAATAAATAAGAGAGTTCTAGCCAAAGTAAATGTCATTTATAAAATAGATAATCACCGAACAGAACTTAAATCAGAATAAAAATTTTATTGTAAATCAGAGTAAATTTTTGTTGACATTAATTTCGATAGAAAAAATTTATTTATTTATTTTCTTAAAAACTTC